GTGACGCCCAAGTCGCAAAAAAGTCAAAGTCGAAAAAGAAACGGAGAAAACTGATTGGGAATGTGTCTATTTTGGTTATTTTCAAAGGCGTTTTCGAGGGGTAAAAAGAGAGCACTCCTGTTGGCTCTCGGGTTCGAACCCACGTTCTGCTGGGTGTCTACCAGAATCAAGCGTCTTACCACTATGCTATTGCTCCTTCTGATCTGAAAAAGCTCTTCAAACAAAGTGTATATACTGTATGATGCCCAGATTGAGAATAAACTACCCAGGTTGTGGCGTAACCTAGGTCCGGATCTTTGTAACCTGGGCGTTGCACAGGGTTGTTCACAACCTAGGGACCTCGGTTACTCACAACCTACACGCAAGTCAAATTGTTGGACAACAACCTAGGTGATACCGAGGTTGTCAACAACCTGGGTCCCGTAACCTAGGCATAACCTGGGTGCCTAGGTTACGGGACCTAGGTTGCTGACCAATCCTCCCTGTGGTACGTGATCGGCAGGTGAATATTCAATCTGGCGTTCATGGCTGTGCTCAGGATCTCAGCAAGATTCGACGTGCGCGACGCTTCGAGTCGTATTGCTATAGAATAACTTCTCGTACGTCCCTGACTAGTCGCCGGCATAGTATGCAATATATGTAGACCCGCTTCGTGTCTTGGCCGCGCAGCAGCGGAGTACATTACATTACATTACACGGTCGACGGTCGACGGTCGACCTCACTTCTATACGAGATGATTGAGTCCGAGGGTGTGAGAGGGAGTCGCAGACCGTTTTGGAGGCTGAACATGGTTCAAGCGATTCGGAGTCATGTCAAAGTCACGCTTTCTCGCGGCCTCGAAAGCCATCACTACTACTGACCAATGATTTTGAAATCATGGCCCAGTTTTGAAGGCGCTCGATTGGACCACAACCAGGTACAATATTTCCTAGTGACTCGGATCAAAGCAAAACCTTCCTGCGTGTTCTTCGTCTCAGCTGTCCGTATAATTATGGGTCAGTAAGCGGTCAAGCCAGTCAATACAAACGAGCGGTGTCCGACGAGTATGCTTTTAGCGGCTGTAGATTTGATATCGATCAGTAAGTTCTCGTTCAACTTCACTGGGTAGAACTCTCACGGAATCTTTAAACCAGGTCCTTAAAGGACGTTGAGCGGAGTGTTCGACGGTCCCACTGCGACTGTCCGGGGACTGTCCACCCCATATTGTACAAGTGACAGAGAGATCTCACAACTTACGTATAAGCAAGCCGACTATATAAAATAGTCATTTATCCTTAGTGGTTTCCGTTCAACCTTACTACCACCAATAGAAGATATCTTGCTGTCACAGTGGTGCCCACAGGTACAGATATGATAACAGTATGGACAGAACGGCCAATTGCGTCAAACAGATGGGCCGTGGCGGATCTGGTGCCTGAAGCCCTGTGCACTGAGTATCGGGACTGAGTGACTCAGGCGCACGTGAATTTCCGCCCTTTGTCCAGGACCTTGCAGTTCACTGGCAAACGGTCCGAGACAGATGGCGTCAGGAGACGCCTTCCGAAGTTGACGGCGGAGAAGCCGGAAGCTTTTGACAGGTCCTGCAGGTGAACGTCGATCAATTGACTTTGGTGCTTCAATTACCGGACGTAGCCAGGGCCGCTAGCGGTGCGTATCTCCAAATTCTCGAAATATACAGCATTGGTCGCGAATCAGCCGCAGAAATCTTACGTTTTGGGACACATGAAGACACGGATCATGAGGCCCTAAAAAAAAATAGAAGTCGGGGGCGCTCTGGAGCAGTCCCCCTGTTTTTATGCTCGGCTTGCGCCTATGCAAATCTGGATTTACCTGGCGGGGCACTGGCTAACAAGTTGTGGGAACATAAAGATTGAAGTTGATCGTGCCATTCTCCTTCGTGCACGTTAAATGTAATGCGAAAAGACGTCGAAGGTGATTGGTTCGTGCTGAGCGCGCAAGACCCGGGACAGATTAGAGCAGCCTGCCAGTTACACGCGGGCCGCTAAAAGTCTCTGCTTACAGGCGCCCCTTCTATCGAAACAGTACTTAAGCTGACGTTTGACATCGCTCGCCCTATGCAATCTGCATTCCATCAGTCGGCCTGCCAGTAGGGAACCCCTGTGGTCAAACATCATTGGCTACAGATATAGTGAGGTCCATCGAAGCAGCTCGAGAATGAGAGAAGCATACTTAGATTTTGTGAGTCTAAGGCGACTGGGAGGAGACGGGAATATTACCTTTCCAAAGCGGTCGAAGGCGCAGTCCGACGAGGTGAGGCTGGACGTCTCGTAGTCTTCGTCCGCACCTTCGACGTACTCGCGGTGGAGAAACCCCTCGAGGGTGCCCATAGCCAGCCGCTCCTCAACCGCTCCAGGAGCGTACATCTGACCCAAAAACTGCGCAGCAAAATACCTTCTCAATGCAATGATACCGGAGGGCCAAACGAACTGGATAAACCTAAAGAAAAGTTCCCGATTGATCCGCATGATGTCAACTGAACTTACGAGTTTACTCGCAACTCTTCGTTTGCTCACCATCCCATTTCAACCCGGCCCCACCCGTCCTGCTTGAGCTGAGTCGCACAGAAAAAACTATTTTACCATTGAAACCTACTTGAGCCGAGTAGACTCAGCAAAAACCTTATTAGATGCCCGCGGCAAAGACAGCTAAAAGCAGGCGCTTCCAGGATTTATGAACCTCGAGCGGCCCAAGTCTGGTTGTAAGCCGCCTTTCTGATTCTGTGAGACTTCGAAACGTGACACCTTGGCGTAGTGCGGGTTGCTAAATGGCAAGACACGTTCGAGCACGGCCTCTACTTTGTCCTTTACCAGGATTCTTTGTGGATCGGAAACAAACGTAGAAAGCCGTCTTTTAGAGCCCGGAAAGGGCCCCATCATTGGCTAATCACAGTACTCCGAGGTTGCCACGAGCAAGTTGTAGACAGGTACAAACCTCAAAGAGACCAATAACTGAAGTGTTCCATGATGCCTTCCTCAACCTGCCTTGGCGTTCTGCCCTACTATTCGCTCTGACGCATTCGTTCCGAAGCTTCCACATGACCTGTTTGCGAGGAGTCAAAAAAGTAGTTATCCCCTAACAGCGTGCTTACCCCGTGCACAAAATCAGTGGTTGCAGCATGACGGATCTCGAAGTTCAGGAACTGCACGGGTGGCTCAGTGATGATCTCGTCTTCAAACTCCCGGAAGATATCCATGTCCAGTGATTCGCCGACAGAGATTGAAAGAGCACTTCCTCGAGTACAATGGGGGCTGATCTTGACCATGCCGTCGGGGCTGGTCCAAAGAAACTCAGGTCCGTCATGCTGCAAAGACACGAACGAGACTTGAATGCCACACAAAAGTCCACAGAAGTGTGCACTTTTTGAGGAGAAGAAAGATGTGTCTTTCAGTGGAAGGATTATGTCCTCAGGGGAGCACTTTAAACACCGGGCTTCACAACTGTCTGATACTCGCTTGTCCTCCTAGCCGCTGGAAGGTCTGACAGGAACTTCCTTGAAAGGACCACGTGGCAGATCGACTGAGCAAATTGAACTGGGCACCAGCCTTTCGTACTAATCAATCTCCTCAAAGCTCGTAGGCATTAAACCAAAAGTGCACGAGCTGACGTCAGTCTGCCACTTGCTTGGGGATACTACCACTATCAGCAACTTACGATACTGATGGGGATGCGGAAGCCATCCAGACTGGCAGAGAAAGGCTCGGCGTCTCCAAAGCTGTCCGAATCGTGGTTCAGGAGGACTTCGACCCTCCTTTCTTCTCCACTCCAGTTGATGTACATGAACCCAATTCCGTCAATCCAGGTGCCCTCAAAGAACCTTGTGGGGTCCTCTACTGGACGCTCAAGTATCTCAACGTCCGCTGAGAGGCCAAACATGCGAACGGTAACCTGGAAAGTAAGACGAAAGGAGCTCAGCTAGATCAAGAGGTTCTCTCAGCAAGATTATAGTTGGACACACTGAGAGGGCAGCAATTCCATGTACGTCCCTGCACTGACACGTCAGAATAAGCTAATTTCAGATCACGTGTCCAGCTGTAGTAGTGGCAGCCCTCAGTGAGACAGGGTGAGCTTATTGCAACTCCTTCAACTCAAAGCTGAGCTGTTGATAGGCCAAGTGGATCAGCTTTTTCCTGTTGACCAGCCAACGACCAGCCAAGTTTGGATATTGAAGTGGGCCATGGAGCAAGTCAATCCTCGCGTACATCGCCCATTCCATCAACAGCATTGCAAAGTGGACCTGCCTTAGTTCTGTCCTTGTCTTCTTCTACAGAACCTAAGTTTCATGGTTTCGAAGCCTATTCAAAACAGTAAACACCCCTTTTGACGTAGGAGTCCTACAGAGAAGGCAGTCTTACAGCAAAAAGATGGTCGGATATCATGCAGTAAGTCTTGTTGGCTTCACCATGGAAGTCAAAAGAGAAGTCCTCAACGTCGGGATGCTTCTCAAGGTCAATCAAGCTAGACAGCGAGATGTGAGGATCTCCGTAGACACTGTCTGCAAAAGCTTGAATCGGAGATCGTCAAATGATCAAGGAAGGACCAGAATGATCAAGAAACATGTCGAGCAGAATTGAGTCACAACGCTCAGATAAGGCTGACGTTACTGGCTTGTCTTAGTAAGAAATCAAGTCCAGAGGAGCAATATGAGGAGCTCAAACCTCGTTCAAGTTGCAGATCAGATGCCTGAACAAATTGCAGCTGCACATTGCATCACTTTGAGCTAGTATGCTCACCAGGACAGATTAAGATGCCATTCCTATCTGCAAGCAAAGGAAGGGGAGCGCGAGTCCATAAAATGAACGTACAAGCCTGAAAGGACATTCATCTGAAGGGGCAATTGTCAAGGCAGCACCTAATTCAGTTTCTTTTCTGCTCAACATGTAGTAAATATGAAACACAACCATACCTACTGGTCCGTTCAACATCTGAATTTCACAGGGAGTGCTCAATAGCAGCCGCCCACAAACGAACGAATCGTGCTTCAAAGCCCTTGCCAGGGTGGCAAGCATTTCAGGCTGCACTAGCAAATCCGAGGTTCACCAGTGGTGGAGAAGGTCTTGTAACAGGATTTGAAAACTGCAAACACATTATTCTCACCAGCGCAATCGGAGTCGCAGCAGTGGCCCGACCCCTTGCAGCACTTTTGGTGGGGACCGCAGCAGTTTTGCGCGGGGTTGGATTCAGGCCCCAGGCTGCAGAAGGTTGTGACCACAGGGAATGTGGAGCAGACGGTTCGGCATGTACCGAAACCATTGGCATCCACGTGACAGACGTCACCGGTCGTCTCGTAATTGGTGCAGCAGCCCCCCGCACAGCACTGGTAATCCCCCCGGCAGCAATGATGGTCACCGGTGGCTGGATCGCTACAGCATATACTTCCGGAAACGCAGGCAGTTCTGCCGCAGCAGAAGCCACCGTTTGCAGAATTGAAGCAGAAGACCCCCTCGCAGCAGGTCAGTCCTGGACCGCTGCACGAGAAGACGCCACACGTCTGGCCAAGGACCACTTGAGGCGATTGGATGCCCGACATAAGGAGCAGAAGTGCGAGCGCCAACGCCGACGTGTGTACTGGCGCATCAGAGCTGCCCCTTTTGCGCTTCTGGAGGGCACTTCTTGATCGGCGACGAATCAGAGGGAGCCAATCCCTGATGCCTCTGCCAGACGCCATATCCAATCAGTGTCCAAGCCAGCCTTTCAACAGGAACAGCGACGGAGGTTGGCGCCTGCAAGCTGTGCGCAAGGTGTGAGACCGAGTGATACCTCTCGTCTTCGATCTTTGCACGAGCCAAGACGTACGTCCTGCAACCTGTGGCCTCAAGGCCGCTTCTTTTCAGCTGACTCAAAGCTTTCTATCAAACGACGTTCAACGGGGCGTTTGCTGCTTGCGATCTGGATTTGCCCATCGACATCCAGTCATCTCCGTCCCCAATATGATTGATAAGATTGATGGGTATTATGAGTTCTGCTGTACTTCAGACGTAGTCAGCCAGTCAGCAGTGCGCTGTCAACGTCAGGGGCGCTGATCAGCGGCGCGGCGATCATCCGATCACGATTCACAGCCCGAGTCAGCTGGCATGCGCCGGTTTCGTGTACGGACCTCGGAGTCGGGGATTGTGCGTTCAAGTACGACTTTGACAAAGAGACACATGGCAGCTCCTAACGTTCCGACGAGTAAATGTCAGAAGCGGTTCGTGGATGTATGCCGAAGGGCGTGGCTCCCTTCATGATAGCGCTAGCATATGCACATGCAGCGCATTGCGTACATACATACGTCTGATTGCCCTTCGTTGTGCCGGCTTTGATACCCAGTACCGCGTAGGCGCCGGCGCCCCGTCACAGTAGAACGTCCGAGTCGGCGCCCGCATCTGGATTTCGACGTGTTCTTAGAAAAATAGCTTCGCAGAGAAGCCGGATTTTAATCCATAACTCCTCGCAGCTTGGATATATAACGATTGCAAGCTTGTTCCGCTGCTCAGCTGTACCTACCCTGGTTTTTCCAAAAGCCCTCCAAAAGATGGCCTCTAGCGCAAGTCTGGCCGGGCCGCGGATTGCTTTCAAATAGAGACTTTACAGCAGCCTGAGGGTTATAGATTCACAGATCCACCACGTCGACTCACATGGCCTCGGCAAAAAGCAGCTCCGCGAGGTAGCTCAGTAGAGCAGTAGTGCTAACTCGTGCTAACTCGGGCTAACTCTACGTGGTTACTTACCGTGCTAGGGACGATGATACTGCAATGAGATGCATTTGTCGTGCAGAGTTTACCGTCTTTGACAGTGTTCTTGTCCCGTTCTTGTTGCACTATGTCCTGGGATGGCCAAACCTGAGAAGTCCGTATCGGATGATCCCCCAGGGATCCCCTTCGAAAGTTGCGGCAGCTACATAACTTCCGAGTCCGGGCCGGGAATCCAGTCGGATCAGGTACGGTCGGTTCGCTGCGCTCGTAAAAGTGACACATGCAAATGACAGTAGAGTAGAGAAACGCTGCCTCACCAAACTTCACCCGCTCTAGCTTTCGGCTATTCTCAGCTTTCGCTACCGACACCAATTAGCTCAAGGAACCGGGTCTGGGGAGATTGCAACAGGATCCACCACTGCAAGTGCTTGAACTAACTTCGTTTGGCATCTTCAGAAGACCCCTTCTCTGACAACATCTCCTGACCAAGATTCCTCTCTGCTTCACAGGTATGCACGACTCCCGGACAGTGATTTGGATTAACTATGAAGCGATGAAAGCAGCAGGGACAATCTGACGTCAACGTTGCTGCTTAAACCCTCATCAATGATCTTTGATTCCGTAGTTGCATGCTCAGAGGAGACTGCCCTTTCTTCTTCTGTATCCAATATTGGTTGCATCTCTATGCTCAAAACCCCCAGACCCGGTCCCATAGCTTATAGGAACAGGCTCCATCGGCAGCAGTCACGGGACACAGCCCAAAAGACTGAGCGTCAAATGATAACGGACCAGGCCAGTAGTTGAACATAACCTGCTTCATTTAGCATAGCCTCCTAGTCTTCTAGCATTAGCTTTGAACAAATACCATACTTGTTACAATATGGGTTTATCATAGGGACACCTGCAAAGCACATGCATAACTGAAGATTCTTTCCATCATTATCTTCAGCTCGTCGTTTCATTGAAGCATGTTGCCAAGAGGGCATGGATGCAGAACGGTTTTACTCGTCCCGTAATTACGAGTGGAAATGAGAGAGCATGTAGCTTGGCTTGTATATGTGTTCTTCATTTTCCGGTTCATCCAATTCATAGTGTACTGTGTGACCAGCCTTTGACGTCTTAAAGTCAAACGCGACGTAGGTATCTTACATCTATTTGAATTGCATGAAGGTGTGCGTCGTGACTTTCTACCGTACGCCGACATCCCGCAATATCCGGGAACGGAAGGGGGTCGGGCGGCGGAACTGGCTGAATCCGCTCCTTAGTGTACTTCCATTTGCATTCCATGGCCAGGCTTTTTCTTGTCGCCAGCAATCAGGCAACCGGCCTAGGACTACAGATCAGATTAGATGCAAATCCTAATTTAACCCTAGTCGAGTAACCTTCTTCCGCATATAAGTAGCTGGTAACGATCGAATAACTATATTGGCTTCAGTGGCACGGGCATGCGGGGCCGGGCATGGGGCCTTCAAGCGCGCTAGCGGAAACCGAAATCGGGAACCATTGTATCAAAGAGCCGTCAGCGTAGAAAGGGGACGGTTTCGAACCTCGTGTCCTTGTTGAACTTCGTTGTATGTTCATCAGCATTGTGATCGGGATGTGATCGCTGATGGTATGCTGTTCATCATTGCATGATACGTTTCGATTAAGCGATCAAAGCGATCGGGAGTCTTTGTATGCATGTGTCCAAGCAAGTCCTTCAATTCCCGGGTTCGCTACGTCCCCTCTCCCCAGATCCCTGTCCCCCTCGCTTCCCTGAATCGCAATTTGCATATCGTACAACAGGTGTTTCACAGATTCAAGGATTCCTTGCAGCATACTCTTGGCTTGACAGCTTGAGGGGGCTATGTTGGTACACGTGACGCTCTCAGACAGCCCGCAATCAACTCGTAATGGAAGGAAGACTGCTCCAAACATGGGCACTACTGAAGGTTCTAAAAGGCCCGCACTAGAGCAGTACTTGGTACGATCAGATCAGGCTTGGCAAAGTTTGGAATGTAATAGCGTGATCTTTCCTCTCGACCGTCTTGGTAGTCGAATGCTTCATGCAGCTGATTACGCAGTGTGCATCCCCTGCTCACTGCAGCTAGCATATGGGTAAATACTACCGAGAACATGATTAGACGCTCCTTCATTTGAGTAACACCTGGAGGCGGTTTAAATGATTTGTACGTCAGGGACTGGTCCGACAATTCCGAAGGCTTGCCCAAGCCTCATCGTAACGAATGTGATTGTACGGACAGCTTGACAAGAATGCACCATTACGCGTTTTATTCTCCCGGGGATGATTGCGCTTGCGGGCCGGACTGCCAAGACTGATCGAACTTAGCATGCCAATGTTCCAGCCTGCAGCCGTATGATCCAGCTTGTGCCAAGATCATGCAAGACATATCACATGCACTCTCGTTAATATCAACTGCAGCTTGTGGCCAGACGTATACTGTCAATCCGCTCCTGGGCGGCCGTGAGTATAGACCTCTTTTCGGATTCTAATTCAGCATTAATTGGCATGGTCCATTTAATAGGCATGGTCCATGCACTGCAACTTAGACTCTGACATCGAGTGTACGTGCTATATTAAAGTTTGACACGACCTGCACACTGATGTCGGTATAGCGCTTGTCACGATGCACTCCGACCGCATTTAGATCACATGCATGGATTGGCTTATATAACGCTGCCACACGAATTGACAGCGGGCCGCGGTCCGGGTGTGACATGGCACGTGCAAGGCAAGCCATGGCGCCGGCTGATTGTATGTGTGCCAGTGCCAGTTGCGTGGGTAGACGGTCTTAACTCATGCACGGGCTCGCGGGAGTTCCTGGCATGCAGTCGACGTCACGACCAGGCAGGACAAGAAATGCGCATGATCCTGAGTATTGTAATAATCCAATCTTTGGTCTCTTACTGATTCATTTCATGCACACTGCTCATGCAGCGTCAACTCTGTAGAAGGTCGGACCTAACATCACGACCTCGCCGCGACCTCGAAAACGGTAGCAATTGAGTAAAATGGTCCGGTCGCAAAATCCCTTTCTTTCTAGGGCATGGGCCATATTAGCGGCCAACAACAATGAGGGTCCATCCGATTTTCGTGTCGAAACATGCGGACGCACTTTGGACCTAATGATTGAATTAGTCTCATCCCTTGCCGCGCCTCTTGGCTCTGGCAAGCTGCCAGCCCCAAAAGACCTTCGGTTCCAGAGAGTATACAATAACGCAAAGATTTACACCCCCAGAGAATCTCCTACTAACAACCGACAGGCTGACCGTACACAGCCGCCGCTGTGTCAAACCGAGGTATTTATCTACAGGAACATTTTCCGCTGAATGCAGAAGAATAAGCACTCTTGCGGGAGCTTATTTTCGCCCAGTGACAATCGGGCCCTCGCCGCACTGCACCGACTTAATGACTTCGGTGACGATAATATTGGCGGTCTCGGTGAGGTCCCGCACGTTGTGCTGCAGCACGCTAGAGCGGATACGGCTCTGGAAGCGGGTCTTGCGGTGGAAGCTCACGCCTGCAGAAATGACGAGTCGCCTGATTCATACAGGGTTCAGGACCACAGAAAAAACGAGAAAAGCATATCAATGTTTAAGAGCAGACCAAAAGTACGTACATACACGTTCGCTGCTGGTTGCGCAGAGATGTAGTTTCGCTCCGACGTGTCACCAGCAACGTTTCGAACGCGGGGAGCAACAGAACCGACGGCAAATCGAAAGGCGAAGAAAGCGCATAGGATGCTCGCTTTGGCTGATATCAGAGTGCGACGCTTCCAACTGTCCTTTCCAATGCCGTTTCCCCGAATCTGAAGTCGTCTTTTGAGAATTTCAGCAGACCCGAAACCCACAAGGCGTAAAGGAATTGGAAAAGGTCAAGTGACGCAAGTCGTCAACCACAAACGTCAGGGCACCGGCAGACGTGCAACTAGGAGCGGCGCCTTACCCACGAGCGCCTGAATGTGCGTCTTGCTGGGCCCAATGCCTGTCACGACTCTCTTCGTCTGCACCTGGAACAGGTTCCCGAACGGCACGTCGTGCAGCGTCGAGATCTCCTCGATGATCGTGTGCTCGTCGCTCACTTTGGTGAGCTGGCACAGTGACGTCACGCGGCTGCCGAACGGGCACACTCGGCGAGGGTACGAGTACGACACCTGGCAGAAGCGGAGAGCCGTAACAGATCAGAGACTCGTACATTTAGACTCCTACGTTCTTGGAAATGTTTCCGTATGTCATAAACCAGATCGCGACATTGACGCGTCACCGCTAGCCTAACCTGGTCTGCTTTCACATAACTGGTGATCTAATGTGGCAAAAGACGTACTGATTTTGTTGCTATTGTAGAGAAGCGACTTCTCCCGCTTGCCAGTCGCTTGACAAACTCGCGGACTCGGCGATCAAAGAACGCAAACGCACGGCGTATCTCGAGCGAGTAAGTTTCAGAAAAGGAGACGTGAAGGTAAAGCGCGAAAGCGACGGGGAGAAGGAGAGGAGGACGAACGTACCTAGCAGAGTTTGCGCAAGGATAAAAGTAGCGAACATCGGAAGTCGGACGGTGAGCCTTCAAGGTCTTCAATGCCATCCCATGGCCAGTGTTCGCAGTTGACGAGCGAAAACCTCAGTTACCTACTCTGTTCCGAGGAATCAAAGTATGTTTGAAAGAGTACGGTGTAAGTGTGCCGGAACGTCGGCGTTCGCTCCTCAAATTCATTTTTCAGGGGTGTATAGTCATAAATGACCAGCCAAAGTCTCTAACTTTTGACTTTCGAGAACTGAAATCTGTCAGCTTTACACGATACGGTATGGATGCGAACTAGAAAATACATTGTAAATGCGCCCACCTCTCGCCGGAACGTGGGCGGCGTGCGGTCGTCCAGCTGCTCCCAGGGCGTGTGTTCGTAGTAGACGAGGCCGCGCGCGGTCGCGACGCGCTCGTCCAGCTGGTCCTCTTCGAACATGCGGCACAGCGCGGCCTTCCCAATCGGCACGTCGATCTCGGACGCCAGCTGCGGACGAAAGAAATATTGTCAGACCGTCCGAGTCAACTTCCGCTAAGGTTTAGCTGCTCTCATGGCTTTTGTGTGCGGCTTCCCAGTTTCCACACTTGTCTTCCTTAACATGCGGCGCAGCGCGACACTTCGGATTGGCACGTCAATTTCGGACGCCAGCTGCGGACGGCAGAAAAGGGAGACTCTGCTTGTTCATACTTGTCTGCGAAACGTACTCAGTTTGAGCACGGCAAATCTAAAGAATGCTTCCTTGAGTGCGGCCTTCCCAATCGAAACGTCACTCTTGGGCACCCCGCTGCGCGCAGCAGCGATGGGGTCGATTGTCAGACCGGACTTTCTTCCCTTAAACCTTCGGTATGCGGCTCCCGAACAACACACCACAGTTCCCACTGTCCGCATTCCAGTGCCACCGACTGCCCAGCAACTGCGGATTGCGGCGAACTTTCAGCAGATGGCACCAGTCAAAGAGTCGCCCTGTCCGCATTTCCGGCAAAACTCAAGCACAAGCGCCGGCCAAAAAGTCGCCATACTCGCAGCTCCGTTCTCCAAGCCGAAGGGCCGGCCAGACAACCGCCAAACTCTCTGCCCAGCTCACGGCGGATTGCAAGCGGAAGTGCCAGCCAAGATGTTCCCGTATTCGCGACCCCAGACGGCACGAAGCTTCCAAAAGAGGGGTAGGTATTCACGTTTTCAAGGATTGTAGAACGTATACGAATTGAGGGTACGTCAGCTCACCGTCATCTCGGGCTCTTCGAGCGCCAGGAACGGCCCGTCTTCGGACCCGTCCGTCGAGACGGTGTCGTCCGAGCTGGTCGTCAGGTGCTTGGTCGCCTCCGCGACTTTCGCCGCGCACTGCTCGGGCGAGCACGCGCGGTTCTTCCACAACACCTGGATCGTCCTGGAAAGGAAAGAAAAGACAGTTTGGGAAACAAGCAAAGGAACTTGTTTCGGAGGTCTTCAGCATTCCGGGTTGTTGCAGAATTCGCGCCGGATCAATTCCTGTATTGGGGGTAAGATGTGCAAATTCCACGAGGTATCCACTCGGAAACGACGAGAGCAGACGATGCCGAAAGTGGGGAGCACCTGACACCCGAAGGCCCTGTCGCAAAGATTTCCGAAAATGTGGACAGCATGCCCTAAAAGTCATACCTAAAGCTCATGACTGACCCCGCCGTGACAACGGACTGGTGCCGGAGTTGCATAGCCCATTGCTCAAAAAAAAGTCAACACATTTCCCCCCGTGTATCTCGCATCCCTGACCCAAGAATGCCACACCCCTCACCTCAGGGGCGGCCCCGGCTTGACGAAGAATTGGAAGCGGAACTGGACGCACCCATTATCGCCAAAAAGAGGGCTGTGGACCCCTTCAATTCCCTTACTTACGTTTCCCGAGTTCTAGTGCTGACGCTACTAACTTGTAAAAACGAATCACGAACAAACACCACAAACACGAACCTAACTTCCTCTCTCACCGCAGGGCCGGCCCCGGCTTGACGAACGACTGGAAGCGGAACTTGAGCCGCCCCTTGTTGTCGACGCCGTACGACCCCGCTTTTGCGTCCAGGGCGCGCCCCTTGCGCGCGTACAGGGTTACGTACGGGTTAAGCAGCCGGGTGAACTTGCTAACCGAGGTGCTGTTCTCGCGGATCTCGTCGATGTCCTCCCACGCGATGCTGAACTGCGTCTTGTGGCCGAAGATGTTGCTGTAGAAGGCGAGCTGGCGGGGGGACAGAAACACGCGGCCCTGGGGGGGGGAGGAGAGGAAAAAGAGACAAGTGAGTCAACAACGGAGGGATAAAATCATGTGGCCGTATGGGGGAAGGGAACACAGAGAACAGCGGAGGGCTTGGTCATTGCACCTTGCCTGTGCAGAAACAAATTAGGAATGCATGAAACTTTTTTCTGAGGACAGCCTTTGCAACGACGTCACTTCCTTGCACAGCCTGACACTCCGTGCAATGCACTGTAATTTGAGGTTGCTTCCCTCTCACATTGCTGGACTGACTTTGTCTCTTTCGGACCGTCCCAACTATCCACATCAACTTTCTGTCAGTCCTGTCCGCACGTTTCAAAGCTTTCCCACGCTTCGAAACCGGGTACGTTTACCCTGGTTTGGGTGCAATATAAACTACGAGCCGTATTCAAAGCTTATGAAGCGACAGATTCTGATCAGACCACACACCTGCAGATTGAATTTCTTCTTGACGGCGCATACGTAGTCGTTGATCAGCGTCTCGTGCTCGGGCAGATGGAAGAGCCGCTGGAAGGCCTCGTTTCGCTTACTGTCGCTGTGCGTCAGCTGCACAACATAGAAGAATGTTTCAGCAACAGGGAACCATGGGTGTGCAATCTGGTCTCCTTAAAGCAGGTGATCGTGGTCAAGTACTGTTTTGAAAGCCGTGAAAGGGCTTTTGACAGAGCAGTTCGCCCCAGCTTGAAAGCCCGACTTGGAGGGTCAGGTATGGGAAGGACCTGAACCCCTCCGAACCCTTGTTTCCACGTCGTTAAGTGCCCAAAGCAGCAACTCGACCATAGTAACCCAGCCCCAAACCTTCGACATCTATACAACGTTCTATCTAAAAAGCCCGACATATCGGCACTCCAGATACAAAGCCAAATCTCAGGGAAAACCAAAGACCGACAAATGCTAAAGTGCAGAATTTCAAATTGCAGCGGAAGACTTACCGCGCGTCCCGTCTCCGACTTGACTTTCTCAAGCAGCTTGGAGCTAACGTAAGACTCGGAGTCCCCGGAGTCGTTGACCGTGTTGGTGAGCACGACCCGCATGTGCAGCCGGCTGTTCGCCGCCTTGGCGCGCCGCCCCTCCAGGTCGATCCACAGGTCTGCCAGCTCACCGCCGCTGCGCTTCAAAAAGTTGACCTGGAAGACAAAATGATGCCAGACATGGTTACTTAGAGTAAGAGGTTTTAGAAATTTCGGGAGGGGGGAAATCGGCTTTTGTCGAAGTATTCGGCTTTGTCGACAAAAGAGGTTCGCCAGCTCACCCCCGCTGCGCTTCAAGAAGTTGACCTGAAAGACGTGTGATGCTAGACAGGCTTACTTCAAAGTAGAAGGGGTTTCAAAAGGATTCAGGAGGGGAGGAACCGGCTATTGTCGAAGTATTTGGCTTTGTCGACAAAAGAGGTCCACAGGTCTGCCAGCTCACCACCGCTGCGCTTCAGGAAGTTGACCTGGAAGACGTAATGATGCCAGATATGGTTACTTCAAATTAAAAGGCGTTTTGGGGATTTCAGGGGGGCGGATCGATCTTTGTCGAAGTATTTGGCTTTGTCGACGAAAAAGGGCCACAGGTCTGCCAGCTCGCCGCCGCTGCGCTTGAGGAAGTTAACCTAGAAGACCGAGGTATTTGTGCAAATTCAGATCGATCACAAGAAAGATAATGGTAAGCTAACGTTACAATAGGATGCGCAAACTGAGTCGGGTTCGTTGATTTGGATGTTGAGGGGAAGGGGTATGGGAACGGAGCAGGGATGTCGAGCGCACAGTCTCCGAAGCTTGGCCTGGAAAAGTGCAAGCGTTATTTGTTCTTTGGGTCAACTTCTCGCTCTTTTTCTCTTGCAGACTCCGTTACATCATCTCTTGGGTCTATGTGTCAACTCCATTCTTCGTTCCGTTCGTTCCGGTCGTTCCGTTCCGTTCCGTTCCCTTACCTCTGCCCGGCCCAGCAGCTCCGCCTCCGAGAACGGCCCGTCGTAGTCGAACACCTCCAGGGTCATCAGCGTCGGGGGGTCCTCTGTGGCGTCGAACTCCAGGATGTCTGTGACGTCAGCAAGCCCACGTCAGTTCACGCCATGCTGCCTTGCGGCCGCTCACTGTTGGCGCTGTCACATCTGCCACATTGCTGCGGTTCTGACTTCACCGTTTCAAGGGCCATTCCATAGGCCTGATGCTGCGCTGACCTAATGCTAGACTGATTACTAAGTTCTGACCTTAAGTCCCCATTGGATGTATGGCACCCCATTCCTGTCAGCGAGTCTCGTTGCAGCCACGAGTTCTGCAAAACCACGTGCCCATATAGCTACTAGGAAACCAAAAATCCCATCGCCACCCTCATTGGGGTGTCTGCATGCTTGACGACCTTTGATACGTATAATCGGCGCCTTCCAACGTATCACCAAGAACTGGGCGTGACTAAGCGATTCAGACAACCGAGGAATGTGACTTGAAAGATCAGTGAGAATGCAGAGAAGAAAGTGTAACCCACCGTTCCATTCCGGGTTAAGCGTCTGCAGCTTAACCGAGCTGGTCCGGCTCATGCCGTTGCACGTGAACACCACGTACGGATCGCTGAAGCCCGTGACGTCAGCCTTGGGCAGGTTGACGCCCTCGATGAGGGCGACCGTGAGCAGCCAGCCCTCCCCTTGCGCGCGGATCCCGTGGTCGCCGACTGCGGGCAGGAATAGAGACGCACGTAAGAAAGGCCCTTTCAAGCGTGCATTTGTTGACTTCGAAATTCGTGTTATTGATCCGTCTTAGAGGTGGGCTGCAGTTGATGGTATCTGAAAGCTCCGAGTCTCCGGGGAAAGGTGAGCGGTAAAAGCGGGTCTCACAGGGTCAGAGGTGGAACCGAAACTGAAGGAACAATGGCGATTGCCCGCCAGCGTTTCTTATCGGTTTTGCCTTCTTGGAAGTTCAGGAGCGAACTCGTCAACAGGCACGGCATTCCACCCAGTCTTCTTCCCGCTCATCCGTTACACTAATAAATTCCGTTGATTCACATCGGGCGGGCGGCAAGGTTTTCGCTTGTAAACTTTCAGCCAATTGCGCACCCATGAGCCAATTACTCGTACCTTCAGTACCTAATAATCTGCAGAAATGAACGCAAATCAGAAGGTCAAGAGCTTGCTTGAGACGCTCACATTTGAGGAGGCGCGCGCGCGCCTGGACCTCCACCTTGACCAGCACGATGTGCGCGAGCGCCACCACGAGCCACGTCAGCACCAGCTCCCTAACCGAGTCGGGTAGATCTAACCCGAGCAGGTAAGGCTCTAACCCGCGTGGCGTGCGGTTCCGGCCCACTAGAGCGATATGGATGCAGAAAAGGAACAGGAAAAAGCCCGAAGCGGCGGCGGCAAAGACGTAGAAGCGCTCCTGGAATTGCTGGAAGCGACTGGAGTGGACCGCCTTTTGGAGCGCGTTGGGCGGGGTGACCGGAGGGGCGAAGAAGTCCAGGGTCTGTTGGTGGGGGGGGGGGGGGGAGGGGTTTGGGTTGGGGTTAAAGTGAAGATACGAGATGGGCTTGACAACAGCACAAGGTAACTCAAAAAACATGCGGAGATGAACGCACTACGTCGTAGACAAAGTGCTTTTTGACATTACTTTGAAACCGAGTGTAGGAACACCCTATCCGACATGCCTTCTCAATCAAACACCTTCTAGAAACGGCGCAACCCAACTAGCAATAACGGCCGAATTGCACGCCTTGCAAAGCGAACGATGAAGTCGCAAACACAGTCTGATAAGACAGGACACGAGAAGCCGTTTCAGAACGCTCAAGCGCATTTAAAGGACTTACATCTAAGAACAGCTGATACGTCTCCTTCATGCCCTGCGCCATGCCCTTCTCGATGACGCCCCGCAGCGACGTCGTCTGCAGAAATTCCGGCTCGTACGAGATGCGAACACATGCTGTCTGGTGAGGGTCCTCCAGCCCGGGAAACACGCACACCTGGACACGTGTCCGGAACGTGCCGCCGTACGGAGCGTCCGGAGTCGACTTCGTAATGTCGACGACGTACCCGCCATGCCCAGAGTTGGAATACTCCTGCAAGAATGAATCATCTTGAGCTTGATAAGAATTGACGGGAAAAGGTATAATCTCAGAGCTTTGAAGTTACCAGGTTTGCTCATTCTTTGCCTCCCTCTGCCCACTTTTAGAAGAAACAGCAAACGTTTCTCAGTTTGCAAAGGATACCAAAGAAGCAGAGGCTCAACTTCTTAAGTGAAGACTTTTCCAAGCTGCGCAAGGGCATTGTGCCTTTGACACAGGACTTCTTCGTGATACGTTGGATCACCTTTTTTTCCAAAGGTGCACGCGCAACGCGCAACTCATTTGCTCAATCTTCTCAACTTGCCCAGAACAGACTCCTCGCAACCAGGGTCTCCCAAGCGCCCACTTCGCAATTCAGCCGATAAAATCTCCAACTCGACGAGCCTGTTCGAATCAAATCATCTTTGACTCTATCCCTGCTTTGACACTTCGAGCTGATCAACCAAAGCGGCAATCCCAATCTTCGCTCCGAACCAGTGTCAAATCTCCAGCACCTCACCTGTATCTCAGTGGCCTTGACACCCTTGATAAGGCTGCTGGGCGCGGTGAGGTAAGTTACGCGCCGGGTGTATCCCCCTTCGCCTTCATGCCACGGCTCGGTGCTGCCCCGGGTCCAATTGCACGCGCGAAACAGCTTCGTCTGAAACTCAGACCCGTTTGCGAAGAGGATGCCGTGCATGTCCTTGCAACTAACCTGCAATCATTGATCAACTTAGATTCGTGAAAAGAAGATCATTCGAACCACAAAAGTGCTGAGATATTTGGGTAAAACTGTCTGTAAGACCAAAGGGATCGAAGTCATGTGCCGTAATGCTACTTACTCTTAGTATGCACGCAAGCCTACATTGGTCAGGGGTTTGCCACAGTAAAGTGGCCTCAAGTGCTGGCTTGGCGGACAGCTCTTCTATATTGGGTGGTGCGGTTTTCCGGTCGTCACACGGCCGGGTGGTTGAATGGACTCTAGAGCTCTGCCCCAAAGGTGTCAAGAAAACTTTGATAGCAGTTCACGTGCTGCAGCATGCTTCCCATGGAGCGACGAGGGGAGAGCTTCTGAGGGACCCCATGGGTGGTCAAGAGTGGACTTCTGTAACCGACACAACACCGACATGACGACCTTTGCCCTAAAACAACGATTCCAAGTCCTTTGCTATAACAAATTGAGCTAAAGACAAAGCGCTAACTGGCGCTGACATACACCTGACATCCTGATTTCTGAACGTTAATCCCTCAGCCAATAAGGGGCGTCAGGAGGCAATGGAAGATAAAAGCGGTTTGCTTTGAAGGGACGCAACCGTGCGCTGAGTCACACAGGGTGTTTGGCGTTGAGCTGCCACGCTTGGCTACCTTAGGGTCCTTTCAATAGCTTATTTACAGTCCGTCAACGAGAAAGGGACATTCTGCCGCTTAAGCTGTCTACGGTCCAAACCGCCTCAGGCATAAAATGCTCGAATTGAGCATCTAGATCGTTAATGAGACCAGAAAGAACGGTTGCATTTCTCACCTTATAGACCCGGTCCGCTACCACCCCCCCCGCCAGAGGCGGGGGCATCTCCACAGGCGTCTCGAACGCCTTCCCGTCGTCCTCCCAGAACGACTCAGGCGCCAACTCCCCGTCGAACTCTAGCACCGAGCTTCCCGTCGAACTCGTGGATTCTGTCCGATTCAGATGGCCGCTCCTGCTGCTTTCCGCCCTCGAGAAGCGCCGCGAAAAGAGGCCCCGTTTTGGGGGGGTGGGGCTCAGCAGGGGCGTGGCATGGTCGGTAGCCCCCGAAAAGGTTTGGGAGTGGGACATTTGGTTGGAGGAGGGGGAGATGGAGGGCCGGCGAGAGAAAGAAGAGGAGCCTCCCTTTGCGCTGGAATCGCTGGTGGAACGTTCGAACTTGCCGATCAGGGAGAGGGTCAGCCGGATCTCGCCTGCAATTCCGGATGCACACGCGCATAAGCTAGTAATTGTGTCACAGAATAATGCCGTCAGGCCGAATAGTTAGGGAGTGTAGTGGTCAAGGGAGGTGGCCAGAGTCGTTCTTCTAGGGAGCCTGATCACCTGGAGCCTTAGGAAGCCCTGAAGAACGTATGAAGAGCAGGAGTAAAGCTTTTGAAAGTTCGCTAAGAGTAGTCTTTGCATGCGACAAGAAGAGACATCCCTGTTCATCCTCATGCTGGTTCTTTGGACAGTCCGCGCTACATAATTTTGGTTGTTTGTGGCAAGACTGCCTTTGAGCTTGGCCTAATGTATTCACATGAAAGGCCGTTTCTAACTGATCACGCTAACAATCGTGCTAAATTTAAAATCATTGGATTTCAAGTCTGCAACATCATCCATCTTCTGTCCTGAGTGAGAGTCTGCATTCGCAAGGCCTTGCTTCATCCTGGCTTTGAATCTCAACTTCAATACTTCTGGCGTATCCACAACAATCCATTTCCAAATCACAAGAATATTGTGACATCAGCATGTGCCCCCCCTCACCTGACACTACTTCCTTTGCCTTCCGGTGCTCGAGAGTATGCCAGGTGTCGATCGACCTGTTCTCTGCCTCATGTACGTCTGACAGGGGCAGTGTCAACTGGCCCAGAAAGTCGTCCGATAGTCCAAAGTCGCTGTCCCAGACCGTTATGTGTAGCTGCTCCGACAAGGGGTCCTCGACGTTGAAGAAATATTCCTGGTGAGAAGAGGTTGCCAACAGAAGCATCAGCTATGTTGGATGTAGGATTTCGGGGTGGAAAGATCCTCTAGAAGACAATGCGAGAAAGGTTGCTCTGCAATCGACGATGAGATGAAAGGAATTTCAGATGTAAACGCATCCACAAAGTCCGCCAAACCATGCGAAGAAAGAGCTCTGTGCGCATGAGAACGATTGACGATTGACGAAGCAGGGGAGATGCCATGCCTGACCGCCCCCACATCCAAAAATGTCAATCCTTGTGTCCGGCCCTGGATACGGGCGCAACTCATACTCTTGGATTCATGTTAAACTACGGTAGTCACCCACTTTTCGCTTGACTGATTAATGAGTGCTTGAAGTCTATGAATGAAAGATAATGCAATATCAGCTGATTCAAGCCCAGCAAGCCACAATCATACCAAGGAACGTATCCATCAAAAGCTAACCCAAATATCAATCAACCGAAGCTAGTGCATCAGTTGTCCTCAATTCCAGCCTCCAGATGGAAGTACTCAATGAAGGTTTTAAGGACATGTCGTGAGGGTCAACCGCATCCACAAACGAACCCAGAAGAAAGCATTACTTTTCCAAAATCTTGGAGTGCGTCTACCAAAAAAGTCAGCGCTGCGCTTCTTACCTCGTTCCAGACGGGATTCAGGTTCTTGTAGATGATCTTGGACTTTGCCTTAGACGCCCCGAGCTGCAGTCGCACGTACGGGTCGCTAAGACCATTTGAATCTTTTGCTGCCAGGTTGCGTGCCTCCTCCACGCGCACGTGCAGCTTGACACCCATTCTCTCCACACTCTCTACAACAACGTCCTTTACTCTCTTGGTGACACTTTTCCTGTATGTACTTGGCAGCTTCTAGTTGAAGTCTATACTTATCCTCTTGTGTCTCCTTCTCTTGTGTGCACTTGGCACCTTTCTGCTCCAGACTCTCGCTTGGCTCCCGCTTCCTTCCGACTACTTGCTGAAAGACCACTTTCTCATTCGGAGGCAGAGATCTTCCGATGGCCAACGTACATGAAACTTTCGTCTGTCTGCATAGAGCAGCAATCTTCACTCCAACTCCATACCAAATCCCTGGATTTCAAGGGGCGCAGATCAAGGTCATAAACTGCAAGCTGATAATTGCAAAGATTGCCAGGATTGCCACATTGCATTGCATTGCACAATCTCTCAGCTGCGAGCTGCCGGGGAGAGTCTTCTCTCCGCTGTGTTGAATGCGTATGGTGTATCTGTAGCTCACAGACGCCCACCATTGCAGTCCTCTTTCAGACTGACAGCTCCTGCAGAAGCTTTTCCGCCCTGAACTAAGTTCTAGCCAGTGCTAGGTACCTAGCTGCGCTTGATCGCTTTCTTTCCGAGCTGGCCGGCCATGCGATCTTGTACACGCGTGAAGCTTCCTAGGCGACCACTGACGTCAGCAGGCCCCAACTCATTCCGTCGGGCCGAGCGCACCGGAACCCTCGGAGCGCGCGCCGGAGCAGCGGGGTGCCGGAGCGCCGGAGCGCCGACTTCCGCGACTCGGTCTGTACTTACTTCTGTGTTGCACGAATCACGATTGTTCGACGAAAGCCTACGTGAGTCCAGCGTTCGACACGGAGTTTTGATTTCGTCGGCTCCCAGGCCGACTGTTCCCCGGCCCCTCGGCTGGAGACTTGAACCGGTCGGCTTGTCTCACTGCGATTGGCAGAGCCTGAGGAACGTCAAGCATGTCAAGACCAAATCATGCTTGAAGCACCTCATCCCGAATGACAAGGTCGAGATAACCTGCCATACCTCTTAAGCATCTGCTTTTTTGGGCATGTGACATGAGATTCGAATTCCGAATTGCACTATCATTGAGATCGAGTATGGCTCATGAATATCATTCTCAGATATCTTTGCTCATAACCTTCAGTGCATGAGTGAGTTGAAAAGCAAACAAAGCTCCAAAAGTTGAGCTCGCAATGGCTACTTTGGTTCTAGAACTGTCAAATAGGAGGCTAAATCTCTCTGTGTTCAATCGACTAGAGGTGTCCCTTTTTCTAATCATAATGGAAACGTGTTCCTAATTACTACAGCTGAAATAGGGCTGCTGAGTACTTCTAGTGATAACGGTCGAGAGCTGGCTGCGACCTGTTTGACGAATTTCAAACAGCAAGCAAAACAAAACAGCTAGAGGCATACATGTATACCATCAAAGCTAGATGCAACAAACAAAGGAATCCATCATTACATTCTGATCTAAGCAGCCACTATATCAAGCAAGCCTTTGGTGTTCTCTGACAGCCTTTGCGTTGATGAGGATTATACCTGAAAGGAAAGTGACGAAGATGTAGTCAGAAACGGTTAGTACCCGCAGTGTTCGATGATGCAGAACTTCCACAGACTCGAACTTGATTTACGCGATGTAGGTGCAGCCAGCTCTCGGTCCGTTGTAGTGTGCTCCACTTGGTGCTGAGCGCCATAAACAGAGACGTTGGCTGCTGTCAAACAGCTTGAGAAAGAGAAAGAAGTTGTTCTCTTTCTATGGCATAATATAGCTGTCTACTATCAAGATGTTTACCAAGTGCTAGTAAATCTGGACTTGGGGTAACGCTTTTTCCTACTACGATTCCTTGTAGGTGATTTTAAGGTCACCAACAGAGTAGGAAGAAGCTTCGAAGTGATTCTAAACGTCTTCACCGTTACAATATTGCAGACGGAAGCGATTCCATTGGACGAATTTTATCCAGATGCAATCCGATCAGAACTGAGTGCAATTAGCCAGACGTTTTTGGACCCTAAGCTCGGAGTTGAATTGAACAGTTCGTGGCCGTCCGATGAACTTTGATCAATCAGTACCGTCAGTCGGTCCGGACACATGTGTTCCCGTCTTTGTTCCGGCTCGGACGTCCAGACGGAGTGAGCGCGGAAGATTCCGGTGTGGTAGACCGGACGCCTGCGCATGTGCAAATATACTGATAACCGTGTGTCGAACCTGAAATCCCTCCTCCACCCGCCTTATCTATACAGAATGTCTTGCGTTTTATGGACCAGACTGTTAAGGCGCCTCAGGGTTCGATGAGCCGTAACCTTTTGTAAGGACTCCTAGCATCTCGGTGAACACAAGCTATGAGCGCTCACAACTGTGCAAGAGCCGAATGACATCTTTCTTCTTTGTAAAGTCGCTAGAGGGCTTGCCACCTGTTGAAGGTTTGCTGGCCATGTTATCAGACTTTGAGAGCCACCGTGTGTTATCCACGGTGTAGTGCCTCATTGGGTCTTTTCTGTCCAGCTGAAAAGTAAAGGACGTTTCCATTGGCCAAAGAGGAAGAGGTCCTAGGAAAAGATCAGCCGCATACACAAAAGCGAAGAAAGCGTATTTGTCCCTTGTGTCCCTTGCTGGAAATCTTGCCTTTTGGCATATAGAACCCTTTCCAGGGAAAGGTGAGTCTGGTGGTCGAATAAGCTGCGTCGAAGTGAACGCGCTTCATTAGTAAGGGAATCCCACTTTGTGAAAAGTGGGTGTTCTGTGTTTTTCAGAACTTCGGACTTGCCGTTCTTGTAGGTCTTCAATCTTAATGGGCACGCCTTATAGATTGGAGAGACGTAAGAGTCAACAGAATAGTGTCCAAATCTTTCAGCTCGGCCTGAAGGAAAGTGACAAACTGCGATATCAATGGTACGCCTGGGTTTTTGTATGCATTCCCGTATAGAAATGTTGCAAGCACTGCGTGCAGTTCCTTTGGCAATCTGCCACTTTGACATAATCCGCCACCAGCCTGTTGTCTCAAGGACGAGTTAGCTACACTTGAGCAGGCCGATGATTTCTTCTGTGAGAGGAAGATCTTACGAAACTTCCTTGGCATCTTTTGAAGCACGGAATATCTGGGGGTTTGAGATCCACCAGGTCCAATGCTTACTGTGCCGGAGAAGTGAGAAAAAGCGCCATCTTTGCAAAAGTCCTTGTCTACGTTGTAAGTCATGGAACAACGAAGGAAGAAGGCATGCTCTAGAATCGCGGGGTTCAGTCCCAACGCTTGTAAAGTCTGTACGTCATTCGAGAAGCTTGTTACTGGTCTATTTTCAAGTAGATTCAATGATGTCGTCTGGTCGTGGAATTCCACCGGGCGAGCAAACATTGCCGTCAGAATGGTGAGAGCCCCTTTCAAAGCACTTTCAGAAGGAGGGGTAGCGTTCAAATCGAGCAGATTAGTGAGCCCGAAGCAATCCCTGGTGAAAGTACCAAGTAAAGAGTCGTATTCAACGATTTCGAGTCGCTTACGTTCATTCTCCTCTCGGAGGGTTTTGTTCTCAGCTTCCATCGTGCCCAAGTGACCTTGCAGCGTGAGAAGCTGCGCACTTTGGGTCTTGAACTCGTTCTTGAGTTCTTCGGTGATCTGCGTGAGGCGAGCGACCTCATCCTTAGCCCCAGTCAGCTCGTTCCGACGGGCTAGCTCTTGGAAATCGACGGCCGGGACTGCCGCCGCGGCCGCCTCGCCTGGGTGCTGCGGAACGACTGCGGGTACAGTGGCTGGTGGCGCGGCCGCGCCCGCGGCCGCGACCGCGGCTGCGGGTGCCACGTGTACAGGTGCGGGTGGTGTAGGAGCCACGTGGAGCTGTGTCGCGGCTGCGCCTCCAGTGGCCGGCGCATATTCGGTGTTGATGGCGCGGGTCCGCTTGACGGCCTTGGACACGAGCCACGTGTCCTTCGCCTCTCGGTGCCCTAGCAGGCACCGGTCCCCGTCCGTGCACTTTCCGGTTTTGCTGTGAAACAGCATACAGGGGCGGCGCTCCTTTGGCTCGTGCGAATGGGCGCACGATGGGGTGTGGCACTGCTGGCCCTTGGCGGTGCTGACGCAAAGTTGCACCGCCAAGCCGTCAGCGTTGTGGAAGAATGGCATGGTGATTTGCCGCAGGACTGTTGCCGGACCAGGCGGCCTTCGTTCGCTGCGTGATGCTGGTTGGCCGGGATGGTCGTACGGTTTTCGGTTAGGGGGGCGGTAACCGGGCTGGTTAGGGCGTAAACCGCGGTTTGGGCCACCGCGTCCACTGGTGGGGTGGTCTCCAAACTGTCGCGGAGGATACTGGCGCTGTGGGGCTTCCATATGCGTCTCATACCTTCCCCATTCGGGGTAAGGTTGCTGTTCGCGGAAGTCCATGGGGGCTGGGGTCTGGTAGTACTGGTTTGGGGGGCCTGGGGGTCCCCTTTGTTGGTCAACGTCAGGACCCCAGCGCCCGGGGAGCGGGCCAGGAAAGTTCGGCTGATTATAGGCTCCCTGATGACCAGTCTGAACTGGTGGGGGTGCCACGGGTGGAGTTGGTGGCATCACAGGAGGCAGCATGTTGTAAACAACCGGCTGTGGTGCCAGTGCGGTTTGCTGGTGAGCTGGAGCCACAAACGGCGGAGGCACCCCACTAAAAGCGTAGGGATAGGGAAACATCCTGGAATTGGAAGAGCGAAGAGGAGTGGCTGAGTAGCTAAACATCATTTGTTCTAGCTTTGATCCATTCAAGCAGTTTGAATGTAAAAATGGTTTCAAAATCTTCTTTCATTCCGAGAAGCCGAGGGTTTCCTTTTTGGGTTTCTTTGAAACGAAAGAAGGCACGTCGAAGTTCCTCCAGTGGGTACCTTTTATGGACCACAAGATAAGATGCAACTTCTGAGACGTTGGAAAGGAAACCTTCCAAATGTGAATTGGTCCGGAAAAGCCGGACGAGTTCTCCGTAAAAAGTTGAAATCGATTGTGCCCTCGACACGTTGGAATCAATGTCAGGGAATCGATTTACAAAGTAGTTGAAATCTGATCTCTTATCATACAGAGTTGTGTGTGTTTTGCCATCCCTTTCCGTGTAAATCAGAAGGTCTAACAGTTTGCACTCCAACATCCGTCCTGGTTTTGGAACGGTCAGATTCGGAATAAGTCGTATCCCTGTTTCTGGTGAGTA